TGCATAAAAACTTGCTGGATAAGTTGGCGGTTCATTCTGCTGTGGTGACCCCGGATTAATAAAGGGACTGAGCCAACAAGAAAATGAATGAATGAATGAAACAGACGCGACTGAAGTAACGTGTTTTTTCGCTCCAGCGCACATATCGTGCAACAACAAAATGTGAAGCGTGCAGGGCACATAATCAGCGCGTAAAACACTCGTGGCCGTTATTAAACCATTCAAAAGAAGCGCCTCTCAACACAAAAAGCACGTTCGGTGTGATCGGCCCCTTATGCAGCCAAACTTTAAAAATATATAAAATAATATTTTTTCATTGTTTAACTGATATTATTAATCGGTTACAAACTCACCCTTTTGGTTAACGGTTAATCGGTTACTCTGAGCATCCCTAGTAAACAACATTCATGGGCACGCGCTTGTCCTCTCTGTAGTAAACAAACAGTACGTCAGCTCACACGTGATATTGCAGCTACAAAAACAAAAAGACACTAAAAACAGAAATTACATTTTGGGGTGAATTGTACCTTATAAATAAAGTATGTGACACTTTCAACACCATTCGAAGGTGTTCATGTAGCTAAGCAACGAATATTAAAGGTAAAACTAGTGCGACCGCCTTAACACTTCTCTCCTGACCTTGAAAATATAATTGGCTGAATCGTAGGGATGGCTGACATGAAACTGACGTTTCGACACAGTGTCGAGATCCCGAAGCGCAAGTGTTTCGAAACACTGCACCGAAGCATGATCCGAAGCACCCAAGTCACGTGACTTAAGTGTTTAGAAACACCTGGTCACATGACTAAAGCGATTCAAAGCATGGGTCAGCTTAAAAGCGTTTTGAGACCTGGCGAATCTCCATTTGGCTGCCAAGGTCAAGGAAAATCCTGTTTCATATGGCCTAGTGGACTGTACGTGTGCACGCTGATATTGTGCTTCAATTGACGTTTTGGGTTCAAATCCCGACTTGTACAAATATTCTGAAATCATGGTTTCATGTATTTTAATCATGTTTCTGTTTTGTGTAGTCTAAATAGGATACAGCTGCAGTTACGCCCTAAATATAGCATCAGTTTTGTAACACTGTAAAACAATAATTAATATTTTTACAGTACTGTGATGGTTGGGTTTGGGTAGACATTAATAAAATAAAATAAATGGGAAATTTAATGAACAGTATAAATAATTCTTAATAATTTCAGGCCACAGTTTCTGATCTAGCAACAACCTTGTTTTAAGACCAAAACAAGACATATTTATTCACAAATTGTTTATTTGGATATCAATCCAATGTTGAAACAAAACGATACAAGAGCAAAGCATAGCCAACTGGTTTAAGAGCATTTCAAAACAAAAATATCAACCTGGCTTCGAACCCACTATCCCCGCATGGTAGTCAAATACTTTAACCACTCCACTATACAACCTGAAGGTTCAAGCATACAAAGTGGGGTTTAATGCCTCAATTTGCTCAACTGTTCTTTGCTGAAGCTGTTTCAGTGCAATACATAAAAATGACCACTAGGTGTCACTGTAGAGTGGGGTTTCGAAATGTTTCGAAACTTTGACACATTTGCTTTGACTGTTTCAGTGTTTCATGAAGCCTCGCTTTGCCCACCACTACTGAATCGTAGAAAAGCTGAATTAAGATCGTGTATGGTAAAAATCAAGATCGCAATCTTTTTTTGATTACTCGTGCAGCCCTACCGTCAACTATTCTAGCATATGTTTTATGCAGTGAATGCCCTACCAGCTGCAACCCAGTACTGGGAAACACCCATACACAATCATACACTACTGTTGGGGAAACCGGGGCACCCAGAGGAAACCTACGTCAACACAGGGAAAGCATGCAAACTCCACACAGAAATGCCAACTGGTCCAGCTGGGACTCGAACCAGCAACCCTCTAGCTGTGTAAACCACCAAGCCACCACATCACCCTTTTACAATTTGATGTTAATTTAAGAACAGTGTTGGAGCTGTAAGGTTAACTTGAGCAGGTTCCATATTCGAAACACAAAAGTTTATAAAAATAAATACAACTGATGAAGCGATTAAAGATGAATAACCTCACTGTTCTTCAGCCTCATTATTGAAGAGTAATGAATAAACACAAACCTATTAGTTCTTCAGTCTCTTCCTGTTTAATTCTGCAGGGTTCTGGATCACTCATCTTCTCACTGTCCTTCAATAAACTCTGTCTTTGTCTTTCACTGATGGCGGCAGAGCTTCAGGAGAACAAACAGAGAAATCTGATTCATTTACACTGATTGAGGAAATAAACACATTATGATGTTATATCTTGTGCGATACAATGTGATTATGTAATTTGATCAAGTCAGGTAACAGCAATAATAACTTGATGTGGAAATGTGTAGATCTGAGGACATCAGTGTAATGAATGAAGTGAAAACATTTGACATATTGATGAGCCCCAGACTATAAACAGCCATCCAGGATGAGCAGTTGAGCTGACTTCACACTGAGTGTTCACACTATGAGTTTATTATTATTTTTTAAACAATAAAAAACATGTTGTTACAGAATGAAATGTCTGTCACTTGTTTTTTGGTTATTTATGGAATAATAAAAGGAAAAGACTTTTCAAATGTAAACTACAGGGCACTAGAGGGCGCTGGTGAGATACATAGAGGGATAAAAAGATAAGAAGAAGAAGAGGAATGGGGTAGAGGAAAAAATAAAAAATAAATAAAAAATTTTCAATTCTGATCCACACTCCTAAAGAGTAGATGGCGGAAATGCATTATAAAGTTGATCGCCAACTGCCAATAAAAATCAACGAAGAAGAAGAAGCGGAAGGGGGTCAGTTTTTTTATGGAACACATGGTTCTTTGAGGCTACTTCAAACTAATAGTAATTTTGTGAAGTATTAGTTAAGAAACCTAAAGTTTTAAGCTCAATCTAAGCACCCCCATAATGTTGTAAGGGTATGATATCTGATTAATCTTGGACGATTTTTCGTGGAACCCATCATGCAGTTTCATTCAAACATTACATATGAGTTTGAAGAAGTGGATCAGTGACTTTCAACGCACTCAATGTTTTTCTTTGTTCAGAAGAAAGTACCATCATCAAACAGCTAAGACATTATATGTTTTTTCTTCTTCTTGTGTTTGGGAGAAGTTCAAAAGAGTTTGAGGATTTATTAGATTTGTTTTTGAGTGCATTGTTCAGTGAACCAGTATGTTTCCATTTGGGAAATAAAATATATATGCATAGAATAAATATTTGCTAGCATCAGTATTTCACTAATATCCCAGTGGTAACCTTTTTTTAATGTGACTGCAATGAATTAAACAATTGAAAAGTTACAATGTATATCAATACTTACTAAACTGAGTCCAACTGAGTCTGGTTCCCTCAAGGTTTTTTTTCTTCACTCCCATCAGGTGAAGTTTTTTTCCCTCTCCGCTGTCGCCACTGCCTCGCATGGTTCAGGATTGGTAGAGCTACGCATCAATGAATTTGCTCTTCAGTGTTTGAACTCTCAGTAATGATTAAATCACACTGAACTGAGCTAAACTGAACTGAACTGAACTTAAACACTAAAACCTGAACCACACTGTTCCAGTTACTATGACCATTTATGTGAAGCTGCTTTGACACAATCTACATTGTAAAAGCGCTATACAAATAAAGCTGAATTGAATTGAATTAAACTAATGACTTTATTATATGATTATTTACATGATCATGTCAGTATTCATATAATAAAGTCATTCGATTTCTAGCAGTAGCATATCTATGTACAAAAACTGAGAAATCACAAAAACAAACAGCACCATGCACCAACTTATAAAGTGTTCTGCATGATAAAAACTTCACTGCCACAGTATAATCCCAATTACTGTCCTTAACAGATCATACTTGACGATATTATAAAGACATAAACACACTAACACAGAAAAACCCAAAATCTTCATGCATATATTCCTCTCAGAGCTCCTCTCTCTGCTGTATTGTTTTGGTCAGCAGACACACAGATAGAGGTGAACTCAATGCAGAAACTAGTCGCAGATTGTCGCTTTAATAAACTGTAAAGTGTGTTTTATTGTTGTGTAAACACGAGAAAAAGCGAAAACAACTCACCTCAGCTCTGAAGGCTCGACGCTGTATAAACGCGTCAGTGCTGACGTCATCACGGCGATGCGGGAGCAACGGAAAAATCAACAAAGAAGGATTGGTGGTCTTTCTTTTTCAATGAACATTGATAAATTACCTATTAAATTAGCTAAATTCCATCAACGAGCTATATTGGCCGTATTGATGGCGCTGAACAACGCACAGCTTTAATGTTATGAGAATGCAGACATTTTTAAATTAAATTCAACATGCTTTCAAGCTTAAACATATGAGAGAAATATGGGAAAATACCTAATAATGGGATTTAATAGTAAAATATGGAAGAATCCCAGCAAAACAGAAGGGTTGTCATGTATGAAGTGTTTGTCGATGTTTTGCGAGGGAACGCAAAACATATTTGACTATCCCTGCTGAACGATCCAGCTTAACCAGCCTAGGCTGGTTGGCTGGTTTTAGCTGGTCGGCCAGGCTGGTTTAAGAGGGGTTTTGGCCATTTCCAGGCAGATTTCCAGCCTGGTCTTAGCTGGTCAGGCTGGAAAATGACCAGCTAAATCCAGCTTGACCAGCCTGGTTTAAGCTGGACATAGCTGGTTTTGGCTGGGCTTTCAGCCTGGCTTGGCTGGTTAAGCTGGTTTTAGCTCGTCATCTCCCAGCCTGACCAGCTAAGACCAGGCTGGAAATGGCCAAAACCCCTCTAAAACCAGCCTGGCCGACCAGCTAAAACCAGCCAACCAGCCTAGGCTGGTTTAAGCAGTTTTTTCAGTAGGGTAAAACTATAAAAAATATTTTTACCTATCATTTTTTGCACCATCACGTCCCTTCCGTGTCTACCTACACACAAAAAAAAAAAAAAAAACGCTAAATGTAGACAAAAAAAAACATCTTACTCAATCATGTGTGAGGTGAAGTAGTTTTTACTGGGCACTTGAACATTTAACACAATCAAAAAGCATGGTAATGTTTAACGGCTGTCAGTCATAACAAGTTGATTTTTGCCTAAAGTAATTACAATCAAGATACAAAAGTTTTTTACCAAAATAAATAAAAATGGTATATATTTTTAATAAAACCTATATTCGTATAAAATTATACAATACCCCCACTAATTTTGGGGGGTATCGTAATTAAAAACTTAATTTAAATAAAATAAGAACACCTTTTTTATTTAATGTTTACAATGCAAATCCAATTAAATCCACTTATCTTGTAAACAAAGCATATAACATCTACTAAAAGACAATGTTACTTTACAAACGGCACTGTAAATAAATCATGTGAACATTTTCATATTAGTCAATAATATAAAAGCTGAATAAATATAAATTTCCAGACTCGATGATGGAACAAAATATGTGTGGATTTCTGCGTGCGCAGATTCTGTGTGGCCCTACCTATTTACAAATGATTGGGATTTATTAACATACACACATTCAACTGTGATATCTAATGTTTGTGAATAATGTAGAGTTTTCAAGAAGGTACATTTTGTTGTGTGTTAAACTCTAAAAGAATAAGACTTCTTCAAAATGTTTAGCCTCACTGATCACATTCGTGTGTTTTCCCGTCAGTGTGCAGCAGCAGGTGTCGTTTAAGGTTTGATAACTGTGTGAAGCTCTTCCCACACTGAGTACAGGTGTACGGTTTCTCTCCAGTGTGGATCCTCGCATGTATCTTCAGTATTTGTAACTGTCCGAACCTCTTGTCGCAGTGTGAACACGCGTACAGTTTCTCTCCAGTGTGAGTCATCTGGTGCCGTCTCAAGTCTCCAGCAGAAATGAAAGTCTTCTCACACTCAAAGCACACGAACTCCCTCACCCCAGTGTGGATCTTCTGGTGTTGTGATAAATGTGACTGCCGCGTGAAACTCTTCCCACACTGAGCACATGTGAACGGTTTCTCTCCAGTGTGGATCATTTTGTGTGCGTTCAGGTTTCCCGAATGACTGAATACCTTATGGCAGTGTGAACACTTGTGGGGTTTCTCTCCAGTGTGGATCCTCATGTGAAGCTTGAGATCAGACTGGTAGGTGAAACTCTTTCCACACTGAGTGCAGGTGAAACCTTTCACGGCTGGTCTTTCCATTGAAAAATCATGTTCGGGCTTTGTGCGAGTTTTGACGTGATGTTTCTCCTCATCTTCACTCAGTTCTTCACTCTCCTCCTTCACCTTCACATCTGAGAATTAAGTAAATGAGAGGCATTTTAAGTTATTAACTGCATAAGCCATGTCAGGATGGTCATGAATAAGAACATGAGTGTGTGTTTGGCTGAAATGCGCAAGTTGTCAAACACACTCAAGAATAGTATAAACTCAACATGTTTCATGACACTTCATGTCAGTATTGTTGGGGAATTCATTGTCTTGATAAATGCTTTACTCTCATTTATATGCTTATTTGAGAGATTTCAGTATTATTATTATTATCTATTGTATTATTACCCATACCTATGGCATTATTATCAGGTATGTGTGCTTTGGTAAATAAAATATAATATCTAATATCAGATATTAGCAGAACAGCATTAATGTCACAATGAGAGGAGATTTCACGAGTTCACACTTAGCTGATGATTGAAAATAAAGCTTGTTTGGGGGGAGAGAGCCCTGAGCTTGTAAGATCCTCGAGCCTTGGGCTCCCTCCCGTTGCGGGGCGAGAGGGGAGTTTGAGCTCAGGTAGATCTCAATGACTCCCCCTCCTGGTTATTGTAGCTAAGTGTCATATATGGATGCTGAGAAGGTGTACTCAGAGCTTGGCTAAAATATTTTGGATTAATTGTTTAGGGTGCTTGCTTTTGAACTGTGGGAGAAAACCTGAGGACCCGGGGAAAACCCACGCGAGCACGGGGAAAACGAGCAACACTCCGCACAGAAATGTCGCCTGGTTTGGAAAGGAATTAAACCAGGAGCATTCTTGCTGTGAGGCAACAGCGCTAATCACTGGCCACCGTGTCGCCCGTTTGAAAGGAGGGAAAGTAGGGTTGGGTGGGGGGGTTTCTTCAAGGTGAAGGATTCGGATTTCTGCTTTCCAATCCGTCTCATCATGGACCACCGTTTATCCTTTTCATCATCATGTTTCTCAGTATTTAACTGTGAATTGATCTTAACTAATGCATTTAGTAGCTGCCTGTCTATTTTAACTTTGTTTTCAGGAAACACACAAACCAGGTCATAGGTCATGGAGATCTCTCTCTCTCTCTCCATCTGTTCCTATGACTGGAGGTCCAATACAGAGGAGAAGAAGACAGCTGTTTTAGTTGTCCTGATATATTGCCTATAATATTATAGCTGTTTGATTGATCTGTTTTTGAGTATAATTAATTTTAATGTAATTCCTTTCTGTGTGGAGACAGACTGTGTGTAGCCAAGATATTGCAGCAGACTGTTGATGGAAACAGTCTTGAACCAGCCTGATAACACAGCTGAACGTACAAGAAACATCCTTGAGTCTTTAACACAGATGGTCGTTTGTGTCTATTGTTTTCCTGGTTTAGCTTTTTACAGGTCTGAGATCAGCTCCTAATAACTTAGGGCGACCTCACCTCTAGGCATCAGGTCGCCATCCATATCTGGAGACAGATACAAGGCTTTCTTTGACGCACGCATTAAGGCCGTCCATATCTGGAAGTAGATACTATGTTTCTTTGACGCATGTATTTAGAATTGTCTATTTCTGTTGTAACCAATGAGAACTGTTTACCTGGATCCCACCCTTTCTGGACTTGTGTAAAGAGTATAATTGTTCGATTGTTGAAACTGTAAGCAGAGCGGCCTAGGAACTCATTGCGAGTGTTGAAGCTGGCTTCTGCGAATGAAACTGCAAACTATCTTCAGTAAACTTGATTTATTTTTTTTAAATCTCTGACTCCGGCTCTTCTTCATCTACCAGACTGCTCATTCTTTGGGTTAAACTGTAAACTATCCCTACAAAGGCGAAGATATTGAGATGAGAAAAGTCATTATTTATAGGGAGTTGATTGTCTAATAGGATACTTAGTCATTAGTAGGCCCACACAGAATCTACGAACGCAGAATTCCGCAGATTTTCCACAGATTTCTGCAGATTTTTAGCCCATTATTAATTCTGTTTATTTACTTGAGTAAATGTGTAAATCTGAGTTTATTCAGTTTTTATTCAGTAATTTATTACTTTTTATTTAATATATTAAGGTTTTGGTTATGATACTCCGCTGGATACTCCCAAAATAATTCCGCAGAAATTCGCAAATTTTTACCAAATTTCTCCGCAGAAATAGCAAAAAACGTCCGCAGATTCCGTCTGGCCCTGGTCATTATCTAAAGTTGGAACAGCTGTGAACAATCATAAGCACGTAATCCTCTCGAAATTTGTTTATAAATAAACTTCACTTATGGAAGCAAGACCAAAAGGACACCTGCGTTCTGTTCTGTAACTCAGGATCATTAGGGCCGGAGCAAGCTGAACTGCCGCTCTAGGCAAAGAACGGTCACACCGCCCACAACCCTAAAGTGAAGGGGGGGGGGGGGGGGGGGTGATGTTGATGGGGGTGATGTTGATGGGGGCGAGGGAGCTGTCACGGACGCCGCCCTCTCTATTCTGCCGCCCTAGACGCGGATATAACTAAGGGCGCGGGTGATGAGGGTAGTGTCACGGACGCCGCCCTCTCTATTCTGCCGCCCTAGACGCGGATATAACTGAGGGTGCGGGTGATGAGGGTAGTGTCACGGATGCCGCCCTCTCTATTCTGCCGCCCTAGATGCGGATATAACTGAGGGTGCAGGTGGTGAGGGTAGTGTCACGGACGCCGCCCTCTCTATTCTGCCGCCCTAAACGCGGATATAACTAAGGGCGCGGGTGATGAGGGTAGTGTCACGGACGCCGCCCTCTCTATTCTGCCGCCCTAGACGCGGATATAACTGAGGGTGCGGGTGATGAGGGTAGTGTCACGGACGTTGCCCTCTCTATTCTGCCGCCCTAGATGCGGATATAACTGAGGGTGCAGGTGGTGAGGGTAGTGTCACGGACGCCGCCCTCTCTATTCTGCCGCCCTAGACGTGGATATAACTAAGGGCGCGGGTGATGAGGGTAGTGTCACGGACGCCGCCCTCTCTATTCTGCCGCCCTAGACGCGGATATAACTGAGGGTGCGGGTGATGAGGGTAGTGTCACGGACACCGCCCTCTCTGTTCTGCCGTTGAGCATTGTGTTTTTTTTGTGAGTCATCACTTTTGAAACAGGAAGGAAAGACCTTAACTGGACATGGATAAGACCTCTAAGAGACCCTGAGATTCTATTGGTGGTGGACAGCTAAGAGATTTAAGCTTTCTTTTAAGCAGTCACTCATGCAGCCGGTCTCTGAGGTCTTCTGGCAAAGACCTTTTAGCCATTCCCAGAACTCGTCTTAAGACTAAAGGTGACCGTGCCTTCTGTGTGGTGGCCCCACGGCTCTGGAAAACTCTCTCCCGCTAGCACTGAGAACTCTGGGAGCAGTTGAACTTATTAAAAAGCATTTAAAGACACCTTTTTGGTCAAGTTTTTAATTAACAGTATTAGTGTTTCTGTATTTGGATTTTAATTAGTTTTATTATGTTTATTATGTTCTTTTACTTGTTTTCTCTTATTGTAAAGCACTTTGTGACTCAATGTCTGGGAAAGGTGCTACATAAATAAACCTTTACTTACTTACTTAAAATACCATCAGCGGAGAAGCTAAGGGCGGTGTGTTAATGTATGAATTTGGGTGGAGTGTTAAGACAAAGAAGTGTATTTAAACTGTGTGCTAGCCTATACTCATCAGACAATCGAACGACCTGTCTCTGTTGTTACTGATGCTGCAAAAATAAACTGCTTTTGTCCCATATTCTAAACACAAAGCTAATATGAAAAATAAACTGATGAAGTACGCAAGATGAACAACCTCACTGTTCTTCAGCCTCATTATTGAAGAGTAATGAATAAACACAAACCTATTAGTTCTTCAGTCTCTTCCTGTTTAATTCTGCAGGGTTCTGGATCACTCATCTTCTCACTGTCCTTCAATAAACTCTGTCTTCGTCCTTCACTGATGGAGATCCAGAGGAATAAAAAGAGAAATCTGATTTATTTATACTCACTAATGAAATAAACCATAGTATGATGTTATATCTTGTAGTTAGTACTATATTTGATTGTGTAATTTGCTCAGTCAGCTGACAACAACAAAAATAACTTGATGCGGAAATTTGTAGTTCAGGGGTCTGTTCTTCGTACCTTGCTTAAATGATCTAAGCTGATTTGGCAGATCCTGGATCTGTTAATCTTGATAACTGATCTCTGAAGTTAGTTCTTCAAACAAGTTTGTGAAGCAGATTAGAATGTCTGGATGAATTGATGTGAGATCGCTGTGTGTGTTGTGAAGGACTGATCTATCAATCCTCGAAATCATGATAAGCAGTGCAACGATTGGCTGACGGCACAGCAGCGTAATGACATCATCTGATTAATATTCAATTATCCATGTGAACAAAATTACATCAAATTAGCAGTAAACGGTGTGTTAAATATGACACGCAATAACCTTCCACATTTGTTATGAGCTGCAGGCTTTACACTTTCATGTGTCAAGAGTATTCATCATGTATTTCAATGCATATTAATGTATTTAGTTCTACATTTACAGCAGATTTACTTCATTATAGGATAGGCCTACTCAAGTCTTTTTTAAATCGGTGTAAGGAACTGTATAAATTCATTTTGCATCAAAAATGCATTTTGATATTAGTAAAGGTGTCAATCACCGGCATATTAGTGATCAAAACACATGCATGACTGCATAAATTATCCTTTTTTTTTTTTTAAGTTAAACATTGTGCATGTACGCGTTTGTATCTAAACAATTTATATCAATAATTGTTTTCTTTGAACCACCAGGTGACAGTATTATATATATATATATATATATATATATATATATGTATGTATGTATGTATGTATGTATGTATATATATATATATATATTTAATATTTTCCAAAGTGTAAATAACTACTGAAAGAAATTATCAGCATTTTGTACATACTTTCAGTATTACCTTTGCTTGAACTGACCCGATCTAATCCTGTTTATATGAAATGAACCTGCTTCTACGCAGGTTTGAGCTACGAGAACTGTTACTATGACAACAACTCCCGGATGAGTTTTGAAAAACGAAACGATCCTGCATCATGTTAAATCGTCAATAAGCAAATCCAGCAAACGGAGTAATCCACGTACAAAGAATAGACCCCTGAAGACATCAAGGGGATAAACAGATACTAACTGATGATAATATTGATAAGCCTCAGACTGTAAACACTCATTAAACAGCCATTCAGTACCAGCAGCTCAGCTTACTTCATACGGAGTGTTTGCAGTGTAGATTTATTTTTTTAATAATAATAATAAATATATATATATATATATATATATATATATTTTTTTTTTTTTACTTTAAATATTAAGCAAATATTCATATTAATAAAGTCATTAGATTTCTAGCAGTAGCATATCTATGTACAGAAACTGAGAAATCACAAAAACAAAAAGCACCACCAATTATTAAAGTGTTCTGCATGATTAAACTTCATAAATCTGCTGCAGTAGATTCCCATTATTGTCATTAACAGATCATACTTGGCGATATTACAAACACATTCACTCATATTGTCCTCTCAGAGCTCCTCTCCGCCTGCTGTATTGTTTTGGTCAGCAGACACACAGATAGAGGTGAACTCAATGCCGAAACTAGTCGCAGATTGTCGCTTTAATAAACTGTAAAGTGTGTTTTATTGTTGTGTAAACACGAGAAAAAGCGTCAACGACTCACCTCAGCTCTGAAGACTCGACGCTGGATGAACGCGTCAGCGCTGACGTCATCACGCAGAGGCTTTCACTTTTGTGAAATCACAGACAAAAGCCCAAATTTGAGGCTAATCAGTGCTCTAATCATGCAAGCGACAATCACGCGGTGTGAATAATCAATAACGTGATTAGAGAGAATGAACAATGTGCTGCGACACCCGCGAAATACTTGAAGTGCTAATAATCTGGACCTGTGGAAAAAAGCTTGGCTCTTACCTTACAAATTGTGTGTTCCCAACAAAGTTAAAGAACTACATTTATAAGTTTTACACAATATTTACCCCACAAATGAGATTGTTTCTAAATTTGGTAATTCTAATTCAAATTGTGTCTTTTGTAAATCAAGCATCGAATCAATTGATCATCTTTTTGCCAAATGCCCACATGTTAATATGTTTTGGTCTGATTTATCTGTTTATTTTTCATCAAAATGTAAGTTTAACATTAATTTTTCCATGTGTGATATAATTTGTTACTTTTATCATGAAAAACATGACATAGAATTTATAGGTAATTTATTTATTTTATTGGGTAAATATTATATTCATAAATGTAAATTTTCTTTATCAGTACCTAAGCTGCAGAATTTTCTCTGTGACTTAAACTGTTTAATAACTACTCTACAAAATGTTTACAGCAAAAAAAAGTGTTAAAACTGTGAAATTTTATTTAGACTTTATGAATATCGTTTAATTTGATAATTTGCCTCTGTACTCAGTTGTTTTTTCTTTTTTCTTTTTTTATTTACCTTTGTACTTGTTGTCATCCATTGTTATGATTAATATGTTTGTATTGTTAAAATACAATAAAAAAAAAACAAACAAAAAAAAAACAGGCATGTTGGGAAAAAAAAACAAGACTAAAAAAAAAAAAAAAAAAAGCAGAGGCATGTTGGTCTTATTTCCATTCGATGATAAACGTGAGACTTGAAATAATCAAAAAAGTACAAAAAATAAATAAATAAAAAATAATAATAATCTGGACCTGTCTACGGTGACCAACAGCCAATCAGAGAGCAGGATACAGCACAGGGGAGAGTTCGGGGAGGAGTTTATTTATTCATTCATTCATTCATTTTCTTGTCGGCTTTAGTCTGTTTATTAATCTGGGTTCACCACAGTGGAATGAACCACCAACTTATCCAGCAAGTTTTTACACAGCGGATGCCTTTCCAGCCGCAACCCATCTCTGGAAAATTTATTTAATCGAATTAATAAAATAATAATACAAAAAGATACACTTAAACCATAGAGTAGGCACACAAACACGAAAAAAAGCATTCACACTACCGAGTCTTCTATAAATTAAAATGTTTTAAATAAACTAAACAGCCTTCCACATTTTGATTGTAACAACTTTAAACATTTACAGTATAACCACACTTCCTTTTGGAAAACTAAGAACGGTGTTTTTGTTTTAGGGCACTTGCATTTATTAATATAAAATATCCCCAAAATTAGAATATTGTTCAAAACAAATTGAATATTAGCATCTTTCCCTAATAAACCAAAGGAAATTTCATTTTTATAAAACTGGGAGGACAACTTGAGAGAAACCTTTAACCACTCAAATCAATCAGACCAAAAGGTTCTGCTAAATAAACATTCAAAAAAATAAATGTGCAGTCGTCTCAATGTCAGCCTCACAGAATGTCCAACTATTGTGATCAAATTAAAACTCTGAATATGGGTAAATATTGAATATTTTAATATGTACTTCATTAGCTTTGCGAGTTATTGGGAAGGAAAGAGACATTGTTCTTGATTTTCAAAAAAAGAAAAGACACGTTGTTTCTATTGGCTTGTGTTGGAAATTTATCTTGGGTTAATATTGATCTTATTATTGTATTAGGCGTTTCACTCTGAATAAAATCTTGTCCATTTATCACCAAATCAGGCAGATGAAGTGTGTCATTGATGTTGGTAACCACATTACTAACCATCATTAGAAATGCCTTTGGGATAGATTTCAATACCCTAGAGCTGTGGTTCTCAAACTTTTTTTCATTAAGTACCACCTCTAAAAAAAATAGTCTCTCCAAGTACCACCATAATAAACAGTGTTGAAATACAGTGGCGTAGTGGAGTATTATGATATTTTACATTTTATTAATAACACTGATCACATGTGAGGGCGACAAGGTGGCTTAGTGGTTAGCACTGTCACCTCACAGCAAGAAAGTCGCTTGTTCGAGTCCTGGCTGGGTTAGTTGGCATATCTGTGTGGAGTTTGCATGTTCTCCCCATGTTGGCGTGGGTTTCCTCAGGGTGCTCCGGTCTCCCCCACAGTCCAAACACATGCGCTATAGGGGAATTGATGAACTAAATTGGCCGTAGTGTATGAGTGTGTGTGTGTGAATGAGTGTGTATGGGTGTTTCCCAGTACTGGGTTGCAGCTAGAAGGGCATCTACTGCTTAAAACATATGTAATTGGAGGTTCATTCCTCTGTGGCAACCTCTGAAATAGAGACAAAGCTGAAGGAACAAGACGGCAGGAAAAGACGCCTTTGTAGATGAAGACCAAGCATCCACCTCAGCCAATCCGACGAGGAGTATTCAAAAACAAACAATTAGGCGGCAACATTTTAAAGCAGGGGTGTCCAAACTCGGTCCTGGAGGGCCGGTGTCCTGCAAAGGTTAGTTCTAACTCCAATCAGACACTCCTGGGCTAGCTAATCAAGCTCTTACAAGGCTTTCTAGAAACATCCTTTCAGTTGTGTTGAGGCAAGTTGGAGCTAAAATCTGCCCTCCAGGACAAAGTTTGGACACCCCTAGTTTAGAGAAAGGGCTTAAATCCCCAACAGAAAGCCAGGTTTGAGTTATGAATAACAGATCCAGATCACAAGTGGAAAAAGAGTCATTGGAAATTATCAGTTTAAATCAAAACCCCTGATGTAGAGGTCTGCATTAATATAATGGAATAAATTTCTGAATAAATGGCGGGAGCGGTCTGTAACGGGTTTAATTTGGGACGGGAGCGGGCTGTCTAGCAATATCGCTCCCGACTCCCGAGCGACCACGCGTAGGTATGTGTGTAAATGAAATAGCGCGATGCTGTGTTTAGCTTGTTTGTTGCTATGTGTGTGTGTGTGTGTGTGTGTGTGTGTGTGTGTGCGTGTATGTGTGCGCACGCGCAAATGAGAGGTAGGTGTGTAGGTGTGTGTGTGTGTGTGTGTGTGCGTGTGTTAGTGCTCGCATGCGCGAATAAAAGAGAGAGAGAGCTTTGTCTGTGTGTGTGTGCTTGGTGCTGTGTGTGTGTGTGTTTATACAGACAGCTTGTTGTAGGCTGTCTGGACTGTATAGCTGGGTGATTTTCGGTTTTGTTCTCCACCCCGCTCTTTAGCGGAATCGGGCGCAGCGGGCAGCGGGACAACAAATGCTTAATATAAGCGGGAGCGGTCGGGTTTGGGCTAAAACCTGGCGGGTGCGGGCGGGATTCAAAATTTAGTCCCGTGCAGATCTCTACCCTGATGTGTCAGATCAAGAGAAGACTCAAGAGTCGGAGAATCAACAGAAAAAAAAAATGATGCAAATTTACTGAAGATAGTTTGCAGTTTTATAGCAAAAGGGCTGCACACTCTTGTAGAGTTCGGTGGCCGATTATCTGCCTTACAGTACAACACAGCAATTATACTCTCACAGAAGACCAGAAGTGCTGTCGACTCGGGTAAAAGGTCTCGATTGGGTAAAGCAAAAACAGACACTTGGTTCTTTAAAATGGCGGCCGCGTGAAATAAGCATATAGTCTACGGCTTCGGCTTTGTATGAACTCTAAGATGTTTCTTCAGCTCTGAAGACCTCCAGTGTGGAGCAGCATGTGTTCATTAAGGTGTGATGATCGTCTGAAACTCCTCCCACACTGAGCGCATGGGAATGGTCTCTCTCCAGTGTGGATCATCTCATGCGTTTTCAGGTTTCTTAAACGATTGAATCTCCTGTCGCAGTGTGAACACATGTACGGTTTCTCCCCAGTGTGGATCATCTGGTGTCGTTTCAAGTCTGCAGATGTAATAAAACTCCTCCCACACTCAAGGCACACAAACTCTTTCACACCGGTGTGGGTTTTCTGGTGTTGTTTCAAATTTGACAGCACCGTATAACTCTTTCCACACTCAGAACATGAATAGGGCCTCTCGTTTGTATGAACTCTAAGATGATCCTTCAGCTTTGAAAAAATAAAAAATGTTTTGCCGCACTGATCACACCTGTGTGATTTCTCTCCAGTGTGGATCATCTCATGTCTTTTCAGGTTTCCCAAACGATTGAATCTCATGTCGCAGTGTGAACACGTGTAAGGTTTCTCTCCAGTGTGGATCATCATATGAAGGTGGACATCATGTTTGCTCTTCAAGCTCTTTCCACACTGAGTGCAGGTGAAACCTTTTCCAGCTGTTCCCTCCATTAAAATACTATGTTCGATCTTCAATTGAGTTTCACTTTCACTTTTGACATGATGTTTCTCCTCATCTTCACTCAGTTCTTCACTCTCCTCCTTCACCATCACATCTGAAAATTAAGTAAACAAGTTGTTTAAGAGTCTAGTTTTTATCTATACAGTCAAATAATCACGAATAAGAGCATTTGTGTGTTTGGCTGAGATGTGTAAGGGGTCAAATAAGTGATATTACAAGTCTGACCTAAAAGTTATATGCACTGTCTGGGGTTGTCAAAGTCAAAGGTGCATATCTAGGCATAATCAAATAAATGTGCATACCTAGAGGCTCAAAGACCATTGTTTCCTCGTTCTCATCTAAATTGGAGAGGGGTCTGAATGCAGACCTGGATCCAATGCTTTTTAATGGGATCACCTAACCCTCACAGTGACGTCACTCGCTCCATTTGAGTGCATTGTGTCTGACATTGCATCACTGAGTGATGGTTCATTTATTCGTTTGCTGGAAATTAGAACTTAATTTAGAAATAGTTTTGAAGCTAATCTTTGTGCTTAACAAACTAAATTAATTATGCACAGGCTAATGGATGTCTGTGCGTATAACACGTTTCCCTATCCACGAGAGTGAAAGTGAAAGTAAATAATGAGCAGGCTCATCTCTTATTCTCGCACTGCAGATGCTCTGTTTAACTGTTTTCTCTCTAGTGAAACGTTCAGTTTTTCCACTTACAAAGTCGCCATGTAAATAGCAAATAAGTTATGGCGTGACGCAACTGGCTCTTAAAGGGAATGAAAGATGACACTCTGATTGGTTTATTCTCAAAACACACCTATAACTCATCAAAAAAATAAGCTCAAGCCCGTGCACCACAGTGCAAAGCAAATTTGTTCATCCTTAAAATAGCAAAAGTGGATTCTGACACAATATTGTACATCTATTTTATTTGTATGAACTATTTTATCAAGCTTATGTATATCTATAGGATTATTTTTATATCACTTTAATTTTCTAACACACACACACACACTTAGATATATTATATAATGTATATTATTAGCATAAACAGCCCTGAGTGAGAAGCAGCGATCTGCCATTAAAGAGTTTTGACCTGCTGAAGATAATGGGCCTTATCATACACAGCGCAATAAGGCTCAAGACATGTTTTCCCTGACGTTTTGCTATTTTCAGACAAGTGCAAGCTTAATTTTCCTGTTTTCGCCATGTTGTTTAAATAGCAAACCCATTTGCGCCACTTTGTGGACTCATGGGTGCTCCAATCTAGAAAAGAGGCGTGTTAAGGTGCATTGTGGGCGCGTTGTTATTTTGAGTAATTAAAATAGACTGAGCAATAGACTAGCTGAAATCAGGTCTAAAGTCCAGCTCACTAGCTTAAAGCAAGTCTAAACTCCAGGTTAGAGCGCGTTAAACCTGGTTTATACGTATGCGTCATGTGACCAGCATAACCAATGGCGCATGCAACGCGCGTAGCTGTGCATTTATACTGCTGCGCGCTGTCTCTGTTGGTCTGCATTAACACTTCCAAAACGCTAGTGGGGCAGTGAAGTGTTAATGTTCCTCTGTGTCGAGTGTCTTCGCTGGTGTTTTGTTCTTTCGGAACGCTTCTGGGATGTACAAGTGGTTGTAACTCGCTCATATTGAGGCAGGAACCGGCGGACGAGCAACAACTTTAACTGTGAGGTAAACACAAAACAAAACTTTCCATCCGGAGCTCCTTCACGGGACTCCACACTTGTAAACAATCGTATTTTCTACATAAATATAAAACCACTGCCTTCATCTCAGGGGGCTTTTTTCAGTTTATTCACGACAACTTGCTTTTGATTAATGTTACGTAAGACTTGCGATATCACAAATATTTTGATGTCTTTGACAATTCAAACATGAGCCAAAAACAGAGACAACTGACTACACAACCCAGCAGGCGGGAATCCGGGAAAAAATCAGCTCCCCTTCATTCCTCCATTTACATTTGAATCCCCTGAAACCCTTTTGTTAAACCAACCCTCTACTCATACAGAATGGTCATTTCAAAGTCTGAATGTTCATCAACCCAAGTGACATCATCTATTATGTTTGATGTCATTTGAAATGTCTCAGTGCGACTGGTACAACGGTCTCATTCCCTCAGAAATAGACATAATCAAAGCAATAGATATATAACTTCAGGTATATTTTGAACCACTGTGAAGGGTGTGCCTTTCCTACAGGCAGAAACTCTTTCACTAAATGCAAAAGCCTTTTGTTATTCACACACCCCTTTCCTTGAGGGGATTCCTGAATTTACTACTTAAGGGAAGGTTTCTAAAACGTTTTGATCGATTCTGCTACTCAGATCAGCCCATAACGTTCAGCTCTAACGCTCCATGTTATGTATATTTTGAAGTCAGGTATGCATCTTTTAATCTTGGATTTATCTTTGAGAATTTGATGTCTTGTATTGATCTTTTATGAATTGACTGAATGAATTGGCATAATACATTTACCTGGCTAATAAATTGTTATGTTTTGAATTATTCAAACAGAGTTTGTTTTGTTATATCTAGTAGATTACGTTAAGTCCATAGCACCACAAGTCTCTTTACAGGTTAGTAATGGACTAAGACATGTTAGACGGAGCAGTGTGGCACGCTATACGTTATTCTTAGAGGTCCGATTAACATATTGGCATTAATTCAAGTACACTTAGACTGTAAAAGGCCAATAATGGGTTTTCTATTTAGAACAACAAACTATTGTTGAGACCAATCTAAATGTTGGTAAGTTAGGCCTTCATCTACAAACTTATACTATATGACTAAAATAGTTTGTCTTGATTCAGTAGATAACAGATCTATGAGGACCACGTAAAATCTCCTAAATTGAGTAAGTAGGGTTCTGCCTTTTTAGGAGAGCGGTTAATCGCCTCTGTTAAATGACCAAGCTTGTGTTTAAGAGATTGTATACTCGGCCGGTACAAGACTCAGGATGCTATAGGAATCTGAATAAATGAGAATAATATACAATAACGAATCAAAGAGAATATTCAATCATAATCTAAAATAATATTAAAGGAAACAAAATAATCTTATCGATGTTTTATAAATGGAGTCAGATAAAACAAGGATAAATATATTAATATTCTAAACCACCTCATACTAAAATTTGAGTCAGATATGTGTTAAGTTTAAAGTAAATCAACACTGTGCACTGGAAAGACCGAACATGCAGTGAACCTTCATCCACCAGCGGACACCGTCGTTGGACTAACTGGGTGGAACATACAGTAATAAACAAACACAAACCTATTAGTTCTTCAGTGTCTTCCTGTTTAATTCTGCAGGGTTCTGGATCACTCATCTTCTCACTGTCCTTCAATAAACTCTGTCTTTGTCTTTCACTGATGGCGGCAGAGCTTCAGGAGAATAAACAGAGAAATCTGATTCATTTACACTGATTGAGGAAATAATCCTTTAATTATTATAAGTAATTTGCTCAAAATCAGCTGTCACCAATGAAATTAACTTAATGTGGTTAACATCAGTATAAAGAAGGAAGGAAAAACAGGAACTACTGACATGAAATGAAAAGGATTTCAGCAGCTCTGGAAATATTAATGAATATCAGATTTTCAGGATCAGCAGATCAGCTCTTTTCATCTACTGGGTGTTTGCAATATGAACTTATTACTACTGTTGTCATAAAAATATATAGACAGTTGCGTTAATATATCTAGGTAAAGACTATACAAGCAGTAGCACTGAATACACAGAAATTAAGAAACCCTAAAACCCTTTAGAAAATAGAGAGCTCCACACACTAATATATAGTTTTCTGCATCAAAATTAATATATTTGTCGCGGTTGATTCCCATCACACATGACAAATCATACTTTTAAATATTACCAAAAAACACAGAAAAGCACAGATTTACTCATATTGTGCTTTTAGAGCTCCTCTCTACCTGCTGTATTGTTTTGGTCAGCAGACACACAGATAGAGGTGAACTCAATGCAGAAACTAGTCGCAGATTGTCGCTTTAATAAACTGTAAAGTGTGTTTTATTGTTGTGTAAACACGAGGAAAAGCGACAACGACTCACCTCAGCTCTGAAGACTCGACGCTGAATGAACGCGTCAGTGATGACGTCATTACGGCGATGCGGGAGAAAAGGCATATAAACAAATGCGAGCCAAACACTACTGATAATCCAAAACAATGGGCTTTATGGTTCTTCAGTCACCGATAAACTTCAAGTATAAGCTTTATGTGAATATTTTCAATTTCATAAGGTTCCTTTTGTATTAATAATTTAATTAGAGAATAGACCATTTCAACGTGGTCATGTCATTGGCCAATTAACTTTTCCTTCTTGTATTCAAACTATCCCATAACTGTAGCAAGAGGTAATTCAATCATAACTTGATGTTAAAACAGCTATGATAACATTTATTTATTAACATGTGGCTCTCTAAATTCTCGGAAGCTACAGAAATTAAAAATATGAATCAGGAATACGTTGGGACCATTGCTTTTGTTTACATCCCTCAAAGTAGTCTAGAATCAATTTCATTCATATGCCTTGCTTCAACTGCGCAGTTCGGTGCAGTACAGGTAACCTGTATCAGGCTGGTGTCTTTACTGTCAAGTGGTGCCCAAAATACACAATGTAAAATAACATTTGAGTTACTGAACATCTTTAGAAATAGAAAGTTATTATATTACAATTCATGCAAAATATCTGGGGGAAAAATACAAACCACAACATTAAAAAAGAAGTTATATATTTTTTTGTTTCTCTTGAATTTTGCTCTTTATTTATTTTATTTAATATTTTTCTCCAACATACAGTTAAAGTCAGAATTATTATCACTGTTTATTTTTTTCCTAATTTCTGTTTGGCAGAGAAAAGATTATTTTCAACACATTTTTAATCATAATAGTTTTATTAACTCATCTCTAATAACTGATTTATTTTATCTTTGTCATGATGACAGTAAATAATATTTGACTAGATATTCTTCAAGACACTCCTATACAGCTTAAAGTGCCATTTAAAGGCTTTACTAGGTCAATTAGGTTAAGGAGGCAGGTAAGGGTAATTAGGCAAGTCATTGTATAACGATGGTTTGTTCTGTAGAAAGTGGTTCTTAAAAAAATTAAAAACTGCTTTGATTCTAGTCAAAATAAAACAAATTAGGCTTTCTCCAGAAGAAAATACATTATCAGACATACTGTGAAAATGTCCTTGCTCTGGTTAACATTGGAAAATATTTATAAAAAGGAAAAGAATTCAATGGGGGGCTAATTTTTGGACCGTTATCGTAAATAATTTTGTTAGATTGGCTCCTGGTTTGGCTTCAGTATTGACTAATCTAATGTATATGCACAAAAGGAACATTG